TGGAAGGATTTCTTTGTTTGTTTGTAATAAAATAGAAATGCACATACTATTTCATCATTTTACAATTAGAAAAGTTTTAACTGATTGAAGTGTGAATATATTCATGCCTCCGTAGAAGACTCTAATTTGTGTTTGTGACACCAAGGGGCCTTTCTCTGGACTTAAATAGATACTTCATAATTAGCAGGGTACAACTTAAAAATTTCCTTTTACCACCAGATATGAGTAGTTTTGTTTCACATAATTTCAGATACAATCACATAGAAAAGTGTTCTGGAACCATTAAGATGATAGATCAACAGGTAAAGCTGCACCATCCACCCTGACAAGCTGAGTTCCATCCTCAAGACCGTGTGGTGGGAGCAAAGCACCTCCCACAAGTTGTCCTCCAACCTCCCCCTGGTACTCCTCTCCATTAAGTGTAATTTTTAAGAATTAAATCACATTCTTATTTGTTAATTATGTATTCTTTGGGATGTGGTGGCATTCATCCTAATGTCTCTAGTGAATGCCAGTCTGAGCTACACTATGAAAACTTGTCTCTAAATAACAAAAATGAAGGCTTAGCTTTTTTCTGAATTTAATTTAGAACAGTACATTCCCATCACTAAAGCTAGAGTTAAGAGATCCCTCAGAATTGTCTGAGTTGAAAGTTTTTTCTTGGCACTTTACTCTGGAAAGAACATGAATTGTAGGAATGTAACTTTAAAATTTGTATAAAAAGAACTGAGTCTGGAATGGTGGCACATGCCTGTAATCTTAGAAGCTGAAAGGCTGAGGCAGGAGGATCTGTCATTGGAGGTCAGCCTGAGCTATTGCTGCAAAAACAACAACCAAATCCTAGGAAACTTAATATACCTTTTTGCACAGACAGATTTTTATGTCCACTCCTGTTAGAAATCCTACCTTGTGATCTAACTTGGGTGTATTCTCATCCCCAATAGACTTGCCTGGGCAAGTGCTATGCATATTATCCTGAACAAAAGAGAATTTAGTCCATTAATTAAACTTTAGTAAATATTGTGTAACAAATAGAATTTATGAGACTAGATATAGACTTTCAAAATAAAACCAGTTGTCCAGTGTTACAAGTAGCTAAACTTTCTTATGGGATTAGAAAGATTATACTGAATTTAAAAAACAAACCAAAAAAAAAAAAAAGTAAAATCTTTATTTGCCACTTTTCCCTAAAACTATTCCCTGTACTGACCTCGCTGTATCATCTTTGTTGCTCAAATCTCCTGTGTCCATTTGAGTTTTCATTCTGTTACTGCTATCAATGAATGAAATGTGATCTTTGTAGTGTTTCTCTTGCTGTGATAAAGCACCATGGGGAGGAAAGGGTTAGTTCAGCCTTCAATGCTTAGATCATGCCTCTTTGCAGGAAGGAGCCAGGAGGCAGGAACTGATGCTGCAACTGGAGAGGAGCATTTTCTTGCTGGCTCCTCATGGCTTACTCAGCCTGCTTTTTTATAGCACCCAGAACCACTAGCCCAGGAGTAACACCATGGAGAGCTGGATCCTCCCATGCCAATCAACAATCAAGAAAATATACCACAGGCTTGCCCAAAGGCCAGTCTTGCTATAGCATTTTTTCAGTTGAAGTTCCCACTTCCAAAATGACACCAGTTTGTGTAAAGTTGACATAAAATTAGCCAGCACATTGGGTTGAAACTTTCAGTGGTAAGCTAAGTGTAATGATGGACACCTGTAATGATTTCATTTGCAAGGAAGAGTAGGAAGCTCAGGAGTTCAAGAGCAGCCTAGGCTATGGTAACACTCTCAAAGCCAAGTCTGTTAATCCCATCCCCTCCCCCCCCCCAAAAAAAAGGAAAGAAAATTCATTACTGTTTATTTCTCTGTTCAGTCGTCAAGTGTTGTTTTTTGTGTTTGCCATTGTTATTGAATATATGCATGTTAAAGTTTCTTTATCTTCCTAAAAATTAACTCTTAACATTATGAAATGTCCCTCCTATTCTTAAGTCTGTCTAATATTAATATAGCCAGTGAGTTTTTATGATTGTATTTAGTTGTTTTATCTTTGCTGACACCTTTTACTTTGCTCAGTTCCCATTTTTAACTGTATAGTTTTTAAAACTTTTTTTAAATTTTATTTTATGTATATGAGTGTTTCACCTGCATGTATGTATTGTACCATGTGTGTGTGCCTGCTTCCTGAGGAGTTAAGATGGTGTCAGATCCCCTGGAACTGGAGTTGCAGACAGTTGCAAGCTGCCGTGGGTGCCAAGAGCCAAGCCTGGGTCCTCTGGAAAGCCATCCATCACTTCAGCCCTCAAGTGTCTGTAACTACTTCTATTACTAATCACATCTAGCAATCTTTGCCTTTCCATTTGTCTGTTCCTAAGCAATGTAGTTCTCTGTCTGGCTTGAATGTGGTGTTTTCAGTGATTGTCTCTTTTCTTCTTCCCCTTTTGTTTCCTTGACCTTGATCAGTATCGTATTTATTGGCTTGCTTGCCATAGTTTTAAAGAAAATTGTAGTGATTGCTGGGATGTTTGTAACAGAAAATACGCCTTAAACTGAAGAGGGTGAATTGGGGGTTTGCGTGATGTGATAACCCAAGCAGTGTTCTCCATTTTTCTTCTCTTTGTGCTTTTGTTGTCTTCATTTTACCTCTGTGAGGACATGGCCCCCAACCCTAAATAGGTTGCTATAGATCTATGTTTTTTTTTTCCCTCCCTAGTGTTAGAAATTCAGCCTAGGAACTCAAAACATGCAGAGCAAGTGCTGTGAGCTGAGCTGTGCACCCAGCTTGGCCTTCACTTTAAACAGATTCAAATAAAGAGGAAATCTATATTACCAGTGTTCTTCGGCTTTCATATTATTTTTGAAGTGTATTTTCCTTCATTATTTTAGCACTTTACAAAAGTAATTTCTATTGTCTTTTATTCCCATTATTTCTTTATTTTTGTTTTTATTTATTTATTTTTTTCCCCCAAGTTAGGGTTTCTCTGTGTAGCTTTGGAGCCTGTCCAGGAATTAGCTCTGGTAGACTAGGCAGGTCTTGAACTCACCTTGATCCTCCTGTCTCTGCCTCTGGAGTGCTGGGGTTTAAGGTGTATGCCACCACCGTCTATCCTGTTCCCATTATTTCTGATTGTAAATCTGACCTTGTCTTCTCTTTGGATGGTGTTATTTTTGGTCCTTCCTGATCATTAAAGTTTTTCACATGGTTGAGCCCTGCCATTTTGACTGTTATACTATCTTTCCAGCAGTTTGTTTTGTTTTCTTTCAGTTGATTCTCATTAAGGTTTGTTTTATTCCCTAGACCTTTGCTTCCATGGGTTGATTTTTTTTTTTTTAAATAAAATCCATAAAATATTTGGCCACTGTTTCTCTTAGTTTTTTTTTCCAAAACCCATTTTATCCCATATGTATATTATACTGACTGATTTTTATCCCACATACCAATGAAATGTGTTTCTTTCCCTGTGCTTTCTTTCTACATTCTGTAGTTTGAGTACTTTCTATTGAACTATTGGATATTTTATCCTGGCTATATCCAGTTAATCACTTTTTGTGCTATAATTTCTAGCCTAGCTCACTTATTTCTTTGATATAGCTAAAGTATGGCTTTCAAATAATACACTGATGAACCCTGCACTTTTTCCCTTTATTTTATTTAAATAACATTTTTTTTCATTTGTTTTACATACTAACCACAATTTTCCCCTCCCTCAAGGCCTATACTTTTTAGAAATTATGCTTAAAAGATGGTTTAGGGTCTGGGGCTTCTAGGTAGATGAGTGATAGAACATCGGAATCCCATGTGTGAGGGAGGCCACAGGTTCAGTCCCAGCACTTTAAAGAGAACATAAGTGACTTGAATGTATGTAATTTTCTAAATTATTATGTTCAAAACACATTTGTTCTTTGTTCTTGTTTGTTTGTTGTAAACTTCATTCCAGCTGGTTACATTAGGAACAGTTAGTTGAAACTTTCAACACAAAGTTGAAAAAAACTGTAAGGGTCCTATCAGTAAATACAGTCTAACCTAAGATGTCAAGGTGTAGGCTACAAGTAGACTTGTAAAAATGAACAGACTATAGAGTTGAGTTGTTAGCCAAGCCTGTTAGCCTTCATTTTGTCTGGAAACCACCACATCTGCCTCCAAGCTGAGTAATCATGACCTCATAGTGTGGCTATGGAAAGTATGTACCACTTTTGAACGAATGAACAAAAAGGGTCTCACTGTGACCCTAAGGTGGTCTGAAACTCCTTATGTAGACTGTGCCTGGCTAGGTTATTCCAGATCTAGCTAGGTAGCTGGGAATAAACAAACCTCTTGTACTCTTCCCAATGCCTTCTGAGTGCTGGACTGCAGTCATGTGAGTCACCACATCCACTTTGTGCTAGAGGTGGAGCCCAGGGCCTTGTGTATGCTAGGCAGGCCTCCAGCAGCTTTTCCTCAGCCTGGCCTCGAACTCACAGAGACTGGAGCTGGAGGTGTTTGTGAGCAATCCAAAGTGGATTCTAGGAGCTGAAGTAGGTCCTCTGCAAGAGTGACGCCCACTCTCAACTACTGAGCCATCTCTCCAGCCCTCTGTAGTTGATTTTCATGCAGATGATTTGACTCAGCATGTGCAATTAGGAATCATCGTATTTAAGACTTTATTGCATATGATAAGTGGTTACACAGTTTTTTGGAACTCACTAGAAAGTGTGGATAATCTCAACTTGGACCTAAAAGAAAAGTTTTATTACAGGGATAACATTCTGACAAGTAATTCTGGAATTCTGTTTAAATAATATATAAACCAAGCAAGAATTAGATAGGCTGCCTAGAGCTGGTTTGGGAGATACTGTTTTATCCATTTGTTAACTGCATCTTAGAATGTGTATTTATGCAGAATCTTGTTCTCTGAAAACAGTGTTTTCCTTGTATTACATAGTGATTAATGTGATGTTGAAATAACATGCATAAAAATTCCTTTTTCATTAGGATTTCTCATCAGGGGTTTCTTACATTTGTTTTCTAGGGCCCACATATAGCTTCAGTTACATTAGCTGCTTATGAATGCAACTCAGTTAATTTCCCTGAGCCACCGTATCCTGACCAAATTATCTGCCCAGATGGAGACAGCACTGAAGGGACAGTGAGTTTGTGGAGCATCATCTCTAAAGTTAGAATTGAAGCCTGCATGTGGGTAAGATCTGCAATTTCATACTTGTCTAAAACCAACCTTGCCATCTTAGCGCTGTGTCATTGCTGTTAGAATAACACCCACACGTACCTAGCTAGTAAAGAATTTGTGAAGCTCCTTGCCGCATACTTCATACATGCCTGTAATCTTGGTATCTGGAAGCTTAGGCAGAAGGATTGCAAGTTCCCAGTCAGACTAGACTGCAGAAACAAAAAATAAGTAAAAAAGTGAAGTAGTCATGTATTTCACTAAGAGAGTAAATAAACACAGTGTTTGTTTGTAGAGAATTTATTTCATTTTTAGTACTGTTAGTAAAAGGCTCCACCATTTCTCTGTATAAACTAAGGTTCCTTGCAGTGTTGATTTCGGACTACATAATTGTGTAGTGATCCTATTTTCAGTTGTCCTAATCATTCTCTTGGTGGTTTACTTAAATTTCCTTTTAAGGCATATACTTTCTAGTTAAGTTTATATTCCCCTTACGTTTTCTTTTCCTCAAAGTTTCCTAGGAAATAAAAGCAGGCAGAAAAGATCATATACAGATCTTACCTCATGAACCAATGAGATGAGTCACTGGGTAAAGGTGTCTGCAACCCAACCTAACATCTTGAGTTTAGTCCCTGGAACCTGTATGGTAGAATGAGAGAGCCATTTCCCATATGTTGCCCTCTGACTTCCATACCTGTACCATGGCATCCATATACACAGATACACAAGCACGTACACATGGGCATGCATACATGAGCACACACATACAAATAAGCAAAGTTTTTTAAAAAATTATTAATTATTCTTTTAATCCCAGTACTCAGGAGGCAGAGGCAGGTAGATCTCCTAGTTCAAGACCAGCCTGGTCTATATTAGAGTGAGTTGTAGGTCAGCCAGGGCTATACAGAGAAACCCTATCTTGAAAAACAAACAAAACAAATTAAATTAAAATTCTAATTTATTAAAGCAGTATTTGGTGCCATAACTTAGAAGAAGCAAGGGTTTTGGTTCTGGGGTATATGTGTTTGAGTATTTCTCCTGCATGGATGATGTATGCCATCTGTAAAGTTTAAAAGAGAGCATCAGAGCCCCAGAACTGGAGTTGTAAGCCACTGTGTAGGTTCTGGGAATTGAACCCAGCTCCTCTGGGAGAGAAGTACACGCTCTTGACCACTAAGCCTTCTGTCCAGGTGTAGAAGAGACAGTTTTAAAAGTTACATGTTGCTGGGTGGTGGTGACGTACACCTTTAATCCCAGCACTCGAAGGCAGAGACAGGCAGATCTCTGTGAGTTTGAGGCCAGCCTGGTCTACAGAATGAATTCTAGGACAGGCTCCAAAGCTACACAGAAAAACCCTGTCTCAAAGGGGAAAAAAAAGTTATGTATTAGTGCCTTTTCCCCTGGTAGTTCTGCAGATCAAACACTGAGCCTGGCACTTGCTAAAAGCAAGTACTCTTCCATTGAACTACATCCTTAGCCCAGCAATTATGTTTTGCTTTGAAGGAATTCTAAAGGAAATGCCATATGTTGTTTGTTGATTATGAAAGGCAGGAAGAGTTGTCATGTTTCCTGTTGCTCTTTTATAAATACTGGAAACAGATTCATTATGCTAGTTGTATGTTTTATGGATTGAGGAGATTATTATGAAAAATTATTAGGATAACAGAAGTCATTTTAGAAAAGAGGTTACCTATACAGTTGGGTTATTTTTGTTTTTGGGGTGTTTGTTTTTGTTTCATGGTGTGTTTTTTGTTTTGTTTTGTTTTTTCCAAGACAGAGTTACTCTGTGTATCACACCTTGCTTTCCTGTAACTCACTTTTGTAGACCAGGCTGGCCCTGAACTCACAGAGATCCGCCTGCCTCTTCCTCCCAAGTGCTAGGATTAAAGGCGCTACCACTGCCTAGCTCTTATTTGATTTTGTTCTTTAAAAGTTATTTATGTGGCTAGATTAATACTAATGACAAAAAGAAAGCTCCTGTCGAGACTGGTGTCGATACTGGCCTTCTACTTCTAGTGGATGTTGTCTGAAGTGCTTCTTCAGCCAGGTTTCATGCTCTAAAATAGCCTAGTGTGGTGGCTTTCTTCCCTAAATACTAATTGGCTCCTGAAAAATACAGACTTTACCTTGAATGTGTCTTCTCACACTTCTCACAGTACAGGATTTTGTCTACTGTGTATTTTCTTCATTCCCTCATTAGAACTGTCTTTTGTCTTATAAAGATGTGGCTTTGTTTTTCGTTTTGGTGGGTTTTGTATGTTGTTATTGTCTTTGTTTTGACACAAGGTCTCACTATGTAGCCCTTGACTGGTTTAAAGGCATGTGCCACAATGCCCAGCTGGCATCATCGAGTTTTGGGGAGGGGTTTTGTTTTTGCTCTACTTTGTATTTCTGTGGATTTGTCTGCTGTGTATATCTTAAATAGGGAATCATAGGTTCTTACCTCCTTTGTTCTTAGTTTGTAATGTTTTCAAGTTTAAGCCATTATATACCATTCTCAGAATTTCATTCCTCAGGCTGTTTAAAACTAACATCCATCTTTGTATATATAACTTTTAAAAATTAGTTTAAGAAAAAAACTTGAGCATGGTGGTGTGTGTCTTAAAGCCTAGCACTGGAGATGCAGAAGCCAGGGAATCTCTGAGTTCTAGGTCAGCCACAGTGACTCAGTGAGACCCTCAAAAAGAAAAAAAAGGAAAAAAATAGTTAAAAAATAATCTCATGGGGCTGGAGAGATGGCTCAGAAGTTAAGAGCACTGATTGCTTTTCCAAAGGACCTGGGTTCAATTCCTAACACCCACGTGACATCTCACTACTGTCTGTAACTCCAGTTTCAGGGGACCCAACGCCCATGGCAAAACACCAATGTGCATAAAATAGAAATAAATAAAATTTTAAAAAATACTTCATGGAAGCTGCAAGCAAATTTTATTTGCAGAACAGTGGTGATGTCATTAGGATGGTGTAGCTGTTTTCTAATCATTGCTCTAAGATCTTTGACTTCCTTGGTGATATCAAGGTAACTTTCTAAACCTTTGCTTATTTAATCTCTCATATTTTAGTTGGAGTAGTTACTGAAAATGGCTTTGTGATTAAAGGATGTTAGCATTCTGATAATATAAAACTGTAGCTTCCAGAAGGTCTGCTGCCCAGACTTTCACCATTAAACGTAACATTCCTTGATTATAAGACCACAATGAGGCTGGCCAGTGGTGGCACACACCTTTAATCCCTGCGCTTGGGAGGCAGAGACAGGTAGGTCGCTCTTTGTGAGTTTGAGATCAGACTGGCCTACAGAGCTACACAGGGAAACCCTGTCTTGAAAAAAACAAAAATGCTGCTTATGGATCTACTTGACAGAATTTTTTCAGTACATGAAACAGTAGTTTAAAGATTAATATTAACACACCAAAGAAATACTGTGCTTATCACTTTGTTCTCATATTTTGTGTATATTAGACCTGTATCAGGGGCAAGAACTTCAAGGTAATGATTACAAGGATTGCTTACCTTTCTTTTTTGATTTGTTACTTTAAGTACTAGGTGAACATTTTTCTTTTAGGACACAAGAAAGCTTCCTTCTCTTTTAATTAAGTCTGGACCACTATGTTTTTATTTATAAATAAACAATTACAAAGGGTTTTAGGGCTCATGTGCCATCAATCTTAGAGGCCCAAATTTGATCACCAGAACCCACATCCTACATAAATTAAAAGTATATAAATCTTTCAAAAAGGAATTAGAAAATTATCATCACCATCATTATTGTTACTATTGAGAAAGGGTCTCCTGTGTCCCACACTGGCTTTGAACCCACAATATAGCCAAGGATGACTTTGATGTCTGATCCACTTGTGTGAGATTATAGGCATTTACCAGTTTGTGCTGTGCTGGTGTTAAACCCAGGGCTTCATGTCTGCTAGGCAGCACTTCACCAAATAAGTTACAGCCTCAGCCTTATAAAATTACTTTTAAGAAGCAGCTGGGCTGTGGTGGTGCATGCCTTCAGTCCCAGCACTCAGGAGGCAGAGGCAGGTGGATCTCTGTGAGTGCAAGGCCAGCCTGGTCTACTGAGTGAGTTCTAGGACAGCCTCCAAAGCTACAGAGAAACCCTGTCTCAAAAAAAAAGAATTGTGGAAGCCTCTGTCCTCAGTGCCTAATTTGAGGTAACTAACTTTGTGTCTAATGTAATGAGTTTTGACAACCTGCTCGATCAGTATATTCCTTTTATTTATTTGTACAGTAGATGACTACTGACATGATACCATTCTTTTTCTATTGTGAAAAATACAAAGATTCTATTAAGATGTGGAAATTGATGTGATAAACTAAGAGCAGAAACAGCTCTTGATTTCTTTTCACTGCATTATGCTACTTCCTCACTAGGTTTAAGGAAATTGGTCACAAGTTTGAATCAGATGATTGCTTCAGAATGGTTGACATTTGACTTCACCCGAGGACTTAGAGAAGTTCACATTTGAGCTAAAATGTTGTAGCAAACTTGCCTTCTACTTTCTATTGTAGAAAAGTTCAACTTTGCACATTAGCTGTTTTGTAGCCAATGAGGTATCACTGTTGCTAATTTGAGTTTCCTAAAAGTGCAGAAAGTAATAAAATGAACTTAATGTACTTTTACCAAACTGTTTTATGCTCACCTGTCTTGGCCGACTATTATCTTAGAGTTAATCTCACACATTATATCTGTGAATATATTAATCTTAGAGCTTAAATGAATAGATCCGCAAGAATTTAATACACATAATTAAAAGGGATTAGTAAGCTTTTAAAGTCATTGTCTACTTAATAGTTAAATTTCCTTCTTTCTTTTTTTGGGTTTTGTTTATTTGTTTGGTTGGTTGGTTTGGTTTGGTTTATCGAGACATAGACTGTCTATCCTGGAACATGCTCAAGACCATGCTGGCCTTGAACTCACAAAGATCTACTTGCCTCTGCCTCCCAAGTACTGGGATTAAGGCATGTGCCACTGTGCCTGGTTTATTAAATTTTCTTTTTGGGGGGTGAGGGTGGGGGAGTGTTTTGAGATAGGGTTTCTCAGTGTAACAATCCTTGCTGTCCTAGAATTTACAAGGATCCACCTGCCTCAGCCTCCTGAGTGATGGCATTAAAGGCATGTGCCACCACAGCCCAGCTGAGTTTTTTGGTTTTAGTTTTAGGGTTTTGTTTGTTTGTTTTCATTGAGACGGGATATAGTTTATATTTTTAATAGAAATAGTTTTACAAGGCAGTGATGATGCCCGCCTTTGCTCCTCCCACACACAGCTTGGAGGACTTTCATATAAAAGACTTCCTCATCACTAATTAGTTTACCCCAAGATTAAGTTCATATATGAAAATAAGGATAAATTTTTAATCCTTTGCACTTTAAAAATCAATGGCTTCTTTCTCTGGTGTCCTCCATAGTTGGTCAACATTAATTTCTCTTGTTTTTCTCCCCTCCATACTCCTGACCCTTCTCCTTCCTCTCCCTCTCTTCTTCAACACAGATTTATTTTGGGGCACTTTGGATTTATACTTGGAGACTGTTGGCTTTACACACTAAAGACACAAAATGTTGAAATTTGGTAATTTCTTTCAAGGATTCTTTTTAGACAAGGCTTCGAACTCAGAGACATCTGCTTGCCTCTGCCTGATGAATACTGGGATTAAAGGGGTACATCACCACACCTGGCTAGTTTTTTTAATCATAATTTAACCATATGTGTATATATGTGGATATGTGCACACGTGAGTGTAGTTGCCTGAAGAGGCCAAAAGAAGGTGTCAGATCTCCTGGAACCAGGCAGTTCATGACTGCCTGATGTGGATGCTGGGAAGCAAACTTGGGGGCTCTACAAGAGCTGTTTGTCCTTTGAACCACTGAACCATCTCTCCAGTCCCTTCAAGGGTTCTTTCAATGCATTTAGAGCAGAGCAAGCTGCAAGAGTTAAGTTTGTTTTGTGAACTAGCAAGCCCTTTTATTCCTGTGACTCAGAGCAGATGACCAGGTCTGTCTGGCTCAGGGTGAAGGCTTCTCCAGAGACTGTCTCTATCATATTATGGCCTGTCTGGTATTTAAGCCACTTAAGTCTAAACTTTGTTTTCATCTTTATGACCTGAACCGATTAAGGCAAAACAACAACAATGAAAACCTTCTCTTCAAAAACATAAATGTACAAAGTGACTGAGATGTGAATCATTCTGAGGAAATTAAACATTTTTAAATCCTGTAAGAACAATTACCCATCTTGATACTAAATTTTCAGGGGTTTCTTGGCTGCAGTTTGTTTCAAGGGTTTTTTGTTTGCTTGCCTGCTTGTTTGTTTAAAGAGGAAGAGAAAGCAAAGAAGGCTATATTGAGATTATCTGAAATGTCCTGGAGAATTTTAATCTAACACTGTATTGGTGCTTTTTGTTTCATGTTTGAAGGGTTTTGTTTTGTTTTGTTTTGTTTTGTTTTTAAGATAGCTTCAAACTTCTAATTGTCCTGCTTGCACCTTCCAAGTGATGGTAACTTTCTTTTGGGTTAAAAAAAATGAAGGAAGTACTAAGAAAAACACCAGAACCTGAGGAGAAATGCTATATTGAGTCTGTCATGTACCCAGAAGTGTCTCAGAATTTATTTATTTATTTATTTATTACCTTGCTTGCAAGTCAGAATTAAGGCTAGGATTCAGACTCTCAAACTTTGAATTGTGTAGCAGCATATACATTATATCTCAATGCTTTTGGAAATACAAAAAAATATAATTTGATTTATTGTGTCACTATACTGAAAACCAAACCTTACAGTGAGTTTTTTTCCACACAGGGCATTGGTACAGCCATTGGAGAGCTGCCTCCATATTTCATGGCCAGGGCAGCTCGCCTCTCAGGTACTGAACCAGATGATGAAGAGTACCAGGAATTTGAAGAAATGCTGGAACATGCAGAGGGTGCACAAGTAAGAACAATAGGGGAAAAGGGAACTCGAGCCCCTGACTCAAGGTTGCTAAGGTAGAATGGTTAGATGTTGCTTTAAGATAGAAAACTGCCTAAGGGAAAACAAAGCGAAATATGACAGAGTATCCAGTATTAATAAAAGTAAAAGTAATGATTAGGGACTGGGAATATACATTTCTGATACAATATTTACAAAGCATGCATGGGACCCTGAGTCTGTCCCTAGTACTTGGAAGGTACTTTGTCAGTGGGTTTTTTCCTAACATATTAGTACTACGGAGATAAAAAGCTACTTTTCTCCCCCTGGGAACAGATAAGTGTCACCTATCTGCTTCAAAAAGTTTGTATGTCTGTGTGTGTGTGTATATATATATATATATATATATATGTATGTATGTATGTATGTATGTATGTATGTACACCTGCCACACCTAAGTTCTTTTTGTAGTTACTATTGGGTCTTGTTTATTTCTTGAGGTAAAGTATGGTTTTGTAGCCCAAGATGACCGTGAACTCATAAGGATCATAGGTATTCAGTAAATACTACAACCAACTCTGGCTAACTCTGTGGTGGTCATTTCCTCCTTGAAAACAGCCTTGGGACTTCATCCTGAAAACACAAAATACCTAAAGCCACTAAGATTTTGCTGAGAGAATGTAAACATGTAATGTTCTTAAACAGTTACAAAAGCATCAAATAAGGAAGCAGCTTGGCCATTATACTTTAAGAAGTCAAATTAATCCTTCTTCACCTTTGAATGTTTTAGAGAGTATCCTCAAAGTGGGCAGGGTAAGCCAGGTCAATAAAAACCTAGATACCAGGTTTAAGCAAGCCTGGTAATTGACTAAGGGTTCGGGGGAGGTGGGATAGTTTTTGTTGTTGTTTGTTTTGGGGTTTTTGTTTGTTTGCTTGTTTGTTTTGCCTGGTACAACTTGTGGTGCTTTTAGTCATAAGAAAATACCTCAGAATGTTGGTGAATGTTGAGTGTTTAAGGATGGCCTTAGAAAACACCACCACAGATTGCTGAGTGGTGGTAGTGTACACCTTTTATCCCAGACTTGGGAGACAGAGGCAGGCAGATCTCTGGGAGTTCCAGGCCACCCTGGTCTACAGAGCAAGTTCCTGGATAGTTAGAGAAACCCTATCTCAAAAAACCAAGAAGGAAGGAACAAAGGAAGGAAGGAGGCAGGCCGGCTGGCCAGACACAGATAAAAATGAAATTTAGGTAGTGACCATTGAGCAAAGTGAACTTATTTTTACTCCCTCTCTCTATAAGATCTGACAAACCTTGTATGATTGAAATTGAGAACTTCGCTAATTTAAAGGAAACAAACTTAAGAAAATAACCTTGTCCCCAAAAGAAAACATCAAACAGGAGGAACATGGAAGAAAAAAATCACTTCCTGTACTTGATTGTGGAAGGCATTTTCTGACTCTGGTGTTGGTATTGAGAGGGGAAATATAGTTCTAAGTCTTTAGTTTTTTATGTTTATTTACTTAATTCAGGGATGAGGATAATGCATGTTTTATTGTGCTATGTGGAGATCAAAGAACAGCTTAATTACCTTCCACTATGTGGGTCCAAGCTTGATTGTCAGGCTTGGTAGCAAGCACCTTTACCTGCTGAGCCATCTCACTGTCCCAAGAGAGGATCTCTTACTTGTCCTGGAGCTCACCTGGTAGACTGGATTATCTGGCCAATGAGCCCCCGGATCCACCTATTCCCCAGCACACTGAGCTCTCACTTGAGTGCTGGGAATCCCCATGATTGTAGCAAGTGCTTTGCCAGCCTCAACAGTTGCGCTATCTCCCCAACTCTGAGTTATTTTTTAAGTAGGAATTGTTTTATTGTCAGTTATCTGATTTGCTGAATAACATAGTCACCCTATTAATAGTTGATGGTTCCAAAGAAGAATACCTGTCCATCCTGTTCACAGATGCGTAATGAATGCCTTGTCTCTGTAGAAACCTTTCAAAGATCTTGTCCACACCCACTCCTTACATTGACCAGAACAGCAGACTTTATGACTCATTTCATTCTTGACACTTTTTATTTGGAGATAATGCATTCCATAAGCTCATTGCCATTGAAAAGCTCAGTTTCAAAACCTCAAACCTGGAATGTGATGAAGAAAGACAGCAGTCATGCTTTATCTTATATCTATAATTGGAGTTCTTGAAGACTCTGGCCAGTTAGTCTTTATCTACTCACTGTGAATGCTGATCTTTTCCTGCTTCTCCTATGGCCCTGATTATTTTTGTTATTTTTAGTTGGAGCTTTTGTAAATGAACTTCATGTCTTTTGAGCCTTGAAAAGTAGATGAGATGGCACACAATACTTCTGATGATTATGAGAGTTGGGCTGTTTGTATCTTTTTTCTTTTTTTTTTTTTTTTTTTTTTTTTTTTTTTTGGCTTTATGCCAGTAATTGCAGAAATGATTTTCAGGACAAACTATGCATTTCTTACTCCCTGTATTCCTGTTTGCTTATCTTGAAAGTGAAGAAAGCAAACTATATGTATTTCATGTCCTTTAAATCAGAAGTTGCACACCTATAGCTTTTGTTTTCCCTTGTTGTGCTGAAGATTGAAGCTGAGCCTTGCTCACTGCTGGACACACTATGTCACTGAGCTACATCCCATCTTGAGATCTTTTTGTTTGTTTGTTTTCTATTTTTATCAAGACAGGGTTTCTCTGTGTAACAGTACTGGCTTTCCTGGAACTCACTTTGTAGACCAGGCTGGTCTTGAACTCACTGAGATTCCACTGCTTCTACCTCCCAAGTGCTGGGGTTAAAGGCGTGCGCACTGCCCAGTCAGCCTTGTGCTCTTTAAGAACATTCTATTTGAAATGTTTACTCAGAATCTCAGTTATAGCTAACATCAATTGCTGTACAAACTAGAAAATGATTTGGTAAAATGATAAGAAATATTAACTCACACATGATAACTGTGATTTTACTAATTTTCTAAGATCAATAAAAACCTATGTATTGAACAGTTGAATAAATTACCTTGCCATACAGTGAGATAAAGGGCATCATCCCTCTTTCTGACTTGGTTTGTTGCTGCTGCTGTTGTTGGCAGTTCTGCAGCTTTATTTGAGATTCAGCAGGTTAGTCCTTATCCACATTGACTGTAGATTTTTGAACATGGTAACAGGCATGTAAGTTACTGATGTGTAGAGCTTGTTTGGTGAGTTCTCACCCTCATTATGTTTTCTGGACAAACATAACATGGATACAGTATGGAGCATCCCTTACTCCTTTGGACCAGATGGCTTTAGTAAGCCTGGTATCAGTGTGCACATCTGAAGTTCCCATCTCCATGGCAGATTTCCATATTACTTTGAGTGTACAGGGGCATGCTTTATGAAGCCCACTCCATGTCTTCTGAATGTTGATTGTATGTTCTTGGGTTACCACCTCATTGACGGCAAAATGTCCCTTCATCTTGCCACCCTTCTTTTGTGGGGCTATTCTGCTGGGTCCAAGTTGGAAAGGATAGGCACAAGAGTTTAGTTTTCCTTTTTCAGTAGATGCAAAAATCTGACTGTATTGCCCAGCTTGAACCCAAATTCTGGGCTTCAGTGAGCCTCATGACGTTCTCTTTCTAGGAGCTGGGATTATTTAACTAATTTGAGTAAAGAAACACAAGATCCTCAAGATCAAAGGGCCAGTGGATCACCTAGCCAAAGTCCAAGCCCATTTTCTGCCCTAGGGACTAGCATTGTGCTTACCATACCACAATTTAGCAATAGTTTCACTAGGTTTAATGCTATAAAAAATGAAGAGATAGGGGCTAGAGAGGCAGCTCAGGAGTTAATGGCACTTCCTGTTCCTTCAGAGGACCTAGATCAGTTCCCAACACCTACACTGATCATTTCACAGCTACCTGTAACTCCAGCTCCAGGGAAGCCAATCAAGACCAACCTGAGCTAAATAAATACTAAGACCCTATCTCAGAAAACACAATGTGAAATGAAAGCTTAAATCATTAAAATAATTCTACACATAGTAAGATGTAGAGACCTGATTTTTCTTCATAACTAGTTACTTTCTGACACTTCTTCCAAATGAATTTGTTATTTTTATCTTACTTTTCTGTGGTACAATCAATCCTAGGGTCTTATACATGCCAGGTGAGTAGTCCATCACTGAGCAACTAAGTTGCCCACACTGGCCTTCAACTTTCTAGGTAGCCCTGGCAATCCTTGCACTTGCTGTCTTCCTGCCTCATACTATTGAGTAGCTAGGGTTACAATCCTGTACCACCAGTCTGGCTTCAGTTGATTTAATTTTGTCTCACATTTTGGCTAAGTAGCTGTTAATGGCATATTCAAGACTTGCTAGCCTGGTATATCTTTTATAGTGCCTTCTTATTAGTAATTTAAAAGTTCTTCAGCAATAGCACCAGAATAATTACACAACCTCTCTGACTGGAATTTGCTCATAGACAGATGTAAAACCTCTAGATTGGTAAGAGCAGGAAACAGGGGAATGTGGATCAACTATAATTAAAATAAGTAAAATGAATAACTGTAAAACATTACTTAAAGATTGTTTGAAGTAGTTTTTATTTTAATTCTTGAAGGGAAAGTACTTTAATAGCATAAATTTATTAGCAGGAAGTCTAAATAAATCAAACACACACACACACCATAACCTTGTCTCTGGTTGCTTTGCCATGTGCTCTCCAAGTGGGTCAAAGGGAACATATAGATTTTACGAAATTGTTGCTTAGTAACTAACAGTGTTCAAGCTACATATTTACTTAAATTCTACTTCTGATTAATGTTTTGATTCATGCAATAGCTGTTTTAGGAGAAAGAACAATAATATATTGATTTATATTTCAATTCCTTATAATTATCTTATTTCTTTTGAGAGTGCTGTATTGAGATTAGACTATTTTTCCACTAAACTGACTTCCTTTTGCTCTTGGATTTCTATCCTTTTTTTATTGTATATCTATGGGAGATGGGAATGAATAAGTTATACA